CTGCAGCCCGGCCCCGGGGATTCTCGAAGCGACTTTGCGTAGGTTTGCGGGAGTCCAGGCCTGCGGGGCTTGCGAGAAATGTACGCCGACCACGTAGGTGGATTCGTGAATCTCGACTTCGGCTCTGGCTCTATAGGTTTTTTTTTTTTTTTTTTTTTTTTTATTCTCCACACGGGCGGCCTGTCATTTTTTTTTCAATTCTCCAAGATGGCGAACTGCCATTGATTTCTTTCCTCCTCCTATGGAGATTCATCGATATACCGTTATCCCGAGTTACGCAACAGAGCTCTAAAAAGGGGGTGCTTTCAGGGGGCTCTCAGTAATCGGCGAAGACCGGGGACACACTTCACTTCTCCAAGCCCCTCCCTTTTTCATGATGGTAGTAAAGGGACTAATGCAGATTTATGGTTCCCATCGCCTGATTTTCTTGTATCCTGATGATTTTTGACTTGGTTGCCACATGCTTGGGGAATATTTGTCACTAAGCTTCTAGCTCTGTTTATTGTTTTGCCCATTTCTGCCCATGGCCCTTTCTAAAATTGTGACCGTTGTGTCAAATAGAAGACCAGTTTTGTAGCCCCAAGCTCCCTTTCCCAGCAAACGCCAATATGCAGGAGTGTTCTGGGAGCTGATGTTCATTTCTTAACGTGGTTTAAGATCTGATAGTAGAACTTGGTCCTTGAGAGAGTACTTGAATGGCTCCTGTACCCGCCGAGGACTCCGATTCTGATGGAGAATTGGCATCTGGTGATCAACTTTTTCCGCCAGTCCTCTTGTCTTTGTGTGAGTTCCCGCTGTCTGGCTGGGAAGATTGCGGGAGTGTGCTTGGAAATGGCTGGGGCCTGCTATGACTCTGCAGTTCTGATGGGGGCGACGCCTTCCTTCTTATTCATGGAATGTTCGAATGCACGCTTTCTCCTTTCCGCTTCTGGTGGCTACCTCAGTTTCTTCCCCAATCTCCCTCCATTTTCTCTGTACATTTACCATCGCTGGCTGGTGTAGACCGAATCCGCTTTGCGTTTGCCCTGAAGGAAAACTGATTACTGAGATGGGAGGGGGAGGGAAGTTGGAGAGAGAAAGGAGTAGTGGCTGGAAGAATAGGAGGGAAATACGAATGTGGAAAGGCAAGGCTCTGGTCTGGGGATGGAAGTGCATACCATCCGGTACTTCAGGTGTACCAGGCGGAGAGGTGAAAAGATCTATTTAACACAGGCCTCATTTCAGGAGACTTTCAAGCAACTTTAAATTTGATGCAGCATGACTGACGAATATGACTGATAAGAGAGTGTACCAGAATCTTTACCATTGCTTAAGGACCCTCAGGCACCACCTGACTCTCTGGTTCATAAATAACTCTGAGTTCACAGTTCGTCTGGTGTGAACTACCAAGTATTTGGAGATTTTTCCTATATAGACGGGGCCTTCGCAGACCACACGGGTAACTGTGAAATCAAATCAGCTGATAGAAAACATGTACTCATGTAGGATTAGGTCATTCTTCAGAAATGACTGATTCTTGATTTTGCGTTAGTGAAAGTCGGTTCTCATGTAGTGGTAATGTAAACTTAGTATGCTTTTCCTATTATATCAAACCCTGGAAGGAATTCATTATAACTTATTTTTTTTTTTCTTTCTCTTTTTTGTTTTTGTTTTTCTTTTTGTGGGGGGCAGCCGGTAGAAATAGATATGATTGTAGGAAAAGACCGGGAAGGTTTCTTTACCAACGGGTTGACTCTTGGCGCAAAGAAGTGCTCAGTGATCAGAGATAGTCTATACGTCGACGGTGACTGCACAATGGACATCCGGACAAAGAGTCAAGGTGGGGAACCAACATACAACGTTGCGGTCGGCAGAGCCGGTAGAGGTAAGCAGGGTGTTCTTCTGGCTAAAGGTTGCATGCCTATTACAACTTATGAAGCCATTTCTTTAACATGTGGAATCAAACTTAGTCCATAATGGCTATTAAGGTGGTTTTGTGAGGTGCCCAGCACTGAAGGGAACACTGCTTTGGATTTACCTACTCTGTAGTGACTGCACACACAGCCTAGCTTCTAGATCCTGACTTGATTCTGAAAGAGAACATTTGTATCGATTCTTCATTTTCAGCTTAGTAAACTTAAAGTCAGAAGCCTCTTAAACTGCATGGCATGCCAAATGATAATCTTTATGGTGTATCATATTGTTACATTGTTCAGAACATTTGGTTATTTTAGTCCCTTTGAGTCTTTTTTTTTTTTTTAAGTTCATTTATGTCTTTAGAGAGAGACAGCCCCTCCAACAGGGTCCTGACTTGTGGATGGGCATGTGTGCCTGGAATATACAGGGAGGTCTTTGGACTTGAACCTGGAACCTTCCCATGTGAGATTGTCTTGCTGAGTAGTGCTTTACCACCGTGCCACCATCTGCTCACCTGATTTGAATCTTTGACCTTTGGCTCTCTTTTCTTTTTTCTTGCTTGCATTTTAATCATTTCACTGCTCAGCATAAAGAAGGAAAAATTAAGACTGGTTCATTTTTCCATTAGAACATTGCTGGGGGAGAAAAAAAAAATTGGATGAGTGTTTTGGAGTAGTTGTCCATTTACTAAAAATACTTTCAAAGACTTAAATGTCTGAGATTTAGATTTGAAAACAACAGGAAATCACATTTAGTGGATATTTGTTCCCAAAATTATATACTCAGCCTGTTGTCAACATTATGGAAGTTGTTATTGTACTGAGTTTTTCTACTTTTTTAAAATAAACTTTAATAAGATTTATTATGCCATTTAATTGACTTATAATTACATTACAATTTGTTAACCTGTATACATATTTTTTTAAATAATGAGGACTTCTGTAGCCTCATACTAGACTTTGTATATCCAGTGTTAGGACCGGTTCTACCACGTGAAAGGACTTGAAGCTAGTTTTAGCTATAGTTTTAATACTATGGTCCTTCCAACTCCCTATGATTGTCCTAAAAGTTACTTTTACTTTGGGTGACTTGATAGCTTAGGAATATTTATAGAAAAATTACATGGTTTTGAAATACTAGATACATACCTCTAGACATCAGCTGCATAAAGAGTAGCATGCTAGAAAGAAGCGTTAACTGAGTAACTTGAAACAGAATGAGATTTTCCTGCCATGAAGCACTACTGACATCTAGTGGCAGTGAATATAAAATGATATGCACATACATTTTGGGAATAGACCTTTGAATTGCATCATAGAAGAGCTTATTAGAAATAATAAACCTATTTCCGTATCCTAGACTCAGAAACAAGACTAGCACAGTAAAGATGTCAGTAAGCATAAGCCCTATATAATTTGAATTTGACCTTTTCTGAATCATACTAAAAATGCTATTTAAAATTCGGTCATTTTCTTCTAGAAGTAAGATACATTTAGCCTCACTGGTGAGACTTATCATTTGTACTTACCATGCACGTTCAATTTGGGGAGAATTTATTTTTTAAAAATTACCCCAGTTCTTTAAATGTATATTTTGGGGGCCCAGTAATACGTATTTGTCATGTCAACCAGAATTTTTTGCTGCACGGTATAAATGATCACACCCTCTACCCCCTTAGTGTAAAGACAGTTGTACAGCATTTTACTGGGCTTGCAAGATGAAGTCAGTAGTTACCCTGTTCTGTTTTTAGTGTTACTCGTTTGAAAGTTCTCCGTTTTGGAGACCTAATGGACATCAGTGCTTGACAGTTCACGGAAACCAGCTCAATGTTAACTTATTACTCGGGGTTCTGTCTGCTAAAACTTATGTGACCTTCTTGATTAACACTTCTTTTGAAACACTTTTCTTCTTTCTCTTTCAGTCTTGGTCTTTGTAATGGGAAAAGAAGGGGTCCATGGAGGCGGATTGAATAAGAAGGCATACTCAATGGCAAAATACTTGAGAGACTCTGGGTTCTAGCTGCTAGGCAGACTGTTAAGTATTAGGGGAAAATTGCTCTTAAACTTTCCTAGCTGTAAGCTTAAGTCTTAATTCTGGAAATTTTATTAGCAATGCAGGGTGATGGGGTATGAACCTGTGTCTCCTTTGTATCCCTCTGTTGGTGGGGAAAGGTGTCTTTCTTTCTGCCCTCCCCCCCTTAAATAATTCTGTTCACTTTTGTTTTGTTTCCTTGTGTACTCCAGCATTGGTTATAGTCATGGGAAAGGAAGGTGTCCACGGAGGCACACTTAACAAGAAAGCATATGAACTCGCTTTATACCTGAGGAGGTCTGATGTGTAAGCAGCCTCTCCCCATCTACCTAGCAACTGTCTTCATCACCACCCCAGTTATGGTCACAGTGCTGCCAGACTATAGATGGTAGCTCATTTTTCTTTACCTATTTTCTAATGTCATGACTCCTGTTTGCCCAGTGGATCATTTGTATGTTAACCACTGTATGTAACCAACCCTTATCTGGCAACATAATTGCAGCACAATAATGATTTGCATGATACCTTGAAATTGGGGGGAGGGGGCATGCCAAGTTGGGCATCACTTTGTCTTAGCAATTAATGGGATATTGATTACTAAAATAAGTTACTATTAAGCAAGGTGCCGGTTGTACAATCTCTAATTTGGTCAATGTCTTTTCAGCACTTTGAGCATTTACTTGGCTCATTTAGTCTTCCTTTTTGTAGCGCATGGTTGGGAGGAAAAAGTGCATGCATCTTTCCTTCATTCCTCTCTTTCCCACGCCCTCCCTTCGCATATAAGGTATTTGGTTTGCTTCCATCCTCTTCTACGCAGTGCCTGGTTTATTTAACCAATTAATATCCCTTTTGTTGATGAGCTATTGAGAGCCTCAGTGGTTTGCTTTTAGTATTGTTGTTGCACTTGTGTAGAGAGACCTTTTTCATAGTGTCCAGAGGACACGCGAAGAGTGCAACTGCAAAACGAGAGCAAAAGGCACTTCCTCCCACGACCTTATGGTAACCGTACTGATTGAACCCCGGGGACATTCCATCATTGCAATAGCTCAGATTTTTGTTCCTGTCTTTTTCTTTGCACACCAGCTCTACTCTTTAGTAAAATTGTAAAAGGCTGCCATTATGGACATTAGGTATCCCAACATAACCATCTGGAGTGTGTCCAGTTTGTTCTTCATAGGACCAATTTTTATTTGCGGCTTGAGTTTTTATATGAAGTTGCATTATTGTGGACTTGGCTGTCTTGTGATGAATTTTTTTCATATGTATTCTGTGCCATACTATTGTTAAAAATGAACTGTTGCTATTGTGAGATGGATTTTAACTGACCTACTAAGGGTTTCTTTCGAATGGCACTACTTTAGGGACATTCTAGTATTTGCTTCTATTGTTTGGGCCTTGTGGATAATGTACAGATTTAAAAACAAATCTTGTTGCTGATTTGTCCATTTCTTTCCCTGCACTTTGTTACATCTGGGATACAGTCTAACTCATCTGATTTAATATGCATTTAAAAAAATGCCATAACTATTAAACACCTTGTTTACAGACAGATGAAATAAATTTATTCCAACCAAACACTCAAGACTCCTGTTGTTTATGCAAATTGTTGGCTTGCTGTTATGGTTGATTTTCCACACAATGGGAATTCATAGGATAGGCCAAACTCTTGCAAGCATAAAGTTTTAAAATAAGAACATTCAGCTGATGGCCTATTTCATGTCAAGTAATGTTTAATGTAAATCAAAGTGTGTAGCCGGGAATTTCTTCTTAATGGGCTTTGATCTATTAATGGCTTTTAGTCATTTCAGGCGTATGTGAGGAAAACCGACTTCTCTGCTAGGCAGGACTTTCCTCTTGTTGCTGCCCTGTAGATGTGAAACCTGGTAAGCAGTAAACGGCCCCTACCAAAAAGGGTTTCTGCACTGTTGTGGATTCTTGTGTGTTGAGATGTCCGATGACTTCCAGGCGAGTCAGCCAGCCAGCTGGGGACCTCCCCCACTAAGAACAGGAGACATCCTTTAGGCAGCATTTAAGAGATTGGGATTCTCTTGCATTTTCTGGCTTTGGACTGACAAACTGACCACAGCTATGGTTTAATCTCAGAGGTCGTAAGATCTCTAATAGGTATTAAAGTTGCAAACATGTAAACTTACCACTATTTAGATGAGCCATTATCAACAAAGTGTCAAATAAAAGCTTAGAACAGGGGTGCTCAAAAAGTGAATGGGTCTGAGTGAAACTGGGAAGCTTGTTATAATGCTGATTTGGGGCCCTAGAGGTAGAGATCGGGTAAGATCAGATCACTTCATAGCTTTAGAAACAATCACCAGGTTAGTCTTGATTCATTATTTTTAACTTTTATCATAGGACTTGTGTTATCTGGAGAGTGGGGGGGGGGGGTTGGAAGCGTGAGAAAGCACCCCCAGGGATATGGCCACGCCACAATCCCTTCTTTATCCTGCTTTCAGGATTGTGAGCATGCACACATACATGCCCTGTGTTTCCCGAGCTGCTTGGGTCCAGGATTTGAACTGCACAGCTGGAGGCTGGGATCCAGCTGTCTCAACCACCAGGCCCCTACCCTATGAGAAACAGGCTAGGGAATTGTAATTTATCTCTTCGCCTTACTTAAAACATACAATGCATCATTAAAAGTTTCCCTTTGAGAAGCTGTCAGGCATTAGTTCCAAATTTGATTGTAAAAGTACATAAGAAAGATTTGGGGCTACTTTGGTAGTTATTCATACCCTATAAATGGTAAAACAAGAAAAGCCTGATACTGCCTTCTTGACCTGTTAAGATCCCTGTTAAAAGTTGGGCAGATGAAAATTTGAAATGAAATGGAGGATCAAGTTAGTTGTGATGATGTGACACTTTTCAGAAATAAATATTCATACATCTAGTAAAAACAGGGTAAAATGACCACAACTGAAACCTGTAGTGAACAAACCTGTCAGTCAGTGGGTGCATGTGTGTGTGTGTTGGAGGTACAGGTAGGGGAGTAAAATATGGTAGAGAGCAACTATATCAGTAAAATAGTAAATAAACTAGTTATTGCTCCCTTAGCCACAATTTCAGTAGAAGAACATTCCTGGGACTATACATACGTATTATTTACCTTGTACTTAGTTTTAGGAAGGAAATGGGGCCATACATACTTGTATACTACAGTGCCCATCACACATATTACTTATTACCAAACTTGGGAAACTTCTAGAAGGTTCAACTTTATGGGCTATGGGTTGAATAAATGATTCTCTGTCCATAGAACAAAACAGTCATTGAAGATTGACGAGAAATTCTTCAATCAAATAATATGAGCTTATTAGCAAATGGAAATATGTACCGTAAATAGTATACATGTATTTGGGATATGTATTTTTTTAAAGAGGTTTTTGCCATAAGGCATGTGTACTCACTGGAGGGAGAAAGACAAGAGACAGAGGGAAAGTGAGAAATCACCCCCCAGGAGGATGGCCATGCCACAATCCCTTTTTCTCCATTTTCGTCCTGGGATCTTGGACGCATGTGCACATGTACCCAACGTGATTTTCAGGCCACCGGTTCCAGGACTGACCCATGGTTGGCCATGTGGGAGTCCAGCAATGTAACCGCTATGCCATTTGCTGGCCCTGGGTATGTATGTATGATGGCAAATCTCAAGATAAATTTATCTCTGGGGTAAGTTTCCAAATGACTGTATTTTGATTTCCAATGTCTTTAATGTTTTTTTTATAATCAGAACAATTTTTAATCAGGTTTTTCTTTTATTCAAGTTACTCATTTCATAGGAAGAAAAAGGGATCTCTCAATAGGGTCTCATCGAGCCACACTCCCCTCCCCAAGCCTTCCAGCCAGCTAGACTCTCAGACTTACCAGGCATGTCCTGGAATCTGCACCCCAGCCTTCCCTGCAGGACTCCAGTGTCCTGTGGTGGTGCTTGTGGTTATGTCACAAATTAAGTTTTTTGTTTTAAGAAACAATAGTAAATAATTTTACTATTATTTTAAAAGCTGTATAGTTACATCATAAAATTAAAGGTTTCAAGTGAATATCAAGGGAACTTGTAACAGTCCTAGTGCTATTAAAACAGTTCATGAACCTTTTTTAAAAAAAAAAATTACAAGTTACAGTTTAGAATTTCAAAAAAATAAAAGTAATTTTTGCTCCAGAAAAATTGCCAACTTAAATGTAAAGGAACCAAGTCCTTGTTCTAAACTGTGGATCAAGGACTGCGGGAACACAATTGTCTAATACATACATTATAATTACAGTGACTTGAACTTTTCCCCTTACTGCATAAATTCATCTGTTCATTCCAGGAATGAGAGACAAAAGAGTCCTACCCTCCGCTTCCGCCAGCCCAGGATCACTCGTGCCCAGTGTATCTAGGGAGGTCTCCAGGTGTGAACCCAGGACCTTCCCAGAGTGTCAGTCCTGTAGATGGTTGTGTTTTACCACTGTGCCACCATCATGCACTATTTTTGCATTAAGTTTATTTTCATGAGAGAGACAGGCACCACCACTGCACTCCACCCCCGGTCTTGGCCCAGGTCACAGGCATGGTGGTGCATCCACATGCTTAGAAGGTATCAAACGAGAACCCCGCACCTTTCCCACAGGGTCCAGTTGCACCACCACTGTGCCACTACCTGGCCCCCATTTTTATTTTAAAATACTCTGTTTTAGGTATTTTTAAAACGGTGACTCATATTGTGCATTAATATGCCAGACACTGAGCTCAGTGTTTGGTCCTAACACCCTGCCTTAGCTTAAATTGTGCAAATGACCAAACAGGTTTAAGTGTTTAGGACCACACAATTGTCACATGCCAACCTCTGCTTCACTGCCATGGTAAACTATCTGATGCCCTGTTCTCAGGCCTCTGCTTTATTTTTAAAGAAAGGTGGGGATGAGGTGAGGTGATATCAGACAATGGAATATCAGAATTCATCTGACCTGAATTCAACTTTATTTTCTAAAGTGGATGTATCTTTTTTTTTATTATTAAAAAAAATTGGCAAAAGCAATTCAAAAAATGAAGTCTCCCCTCCTAGTCTATTTCTTTTAAAATGCAGTTTTCTTTTAAAACAGTATAAGGCTCTTATATTCCTTTTTCTTTTTTGTATTTTGTTAAGGCATATGTGCTTGCTAGAGAGACCGTGAGAAAGCACCGCCCTCCGTGGGAGATGGTCATGCTGCAGTGTCTTCTCTGTTCCTCCTTTCTTTCAATATTTTAGACATGTATGCATACATGCCTGGCATGTTTTTCAAGCTGCTGAATCCAGGCCTCAAACTGCTCAACCAGCCATGTGTGATTCAGCCATCTTCACCACCACACCACCAGCTGGTCCCTTATTATTTAACATGCTTTTATTCATGACAATTTCTTAAGTCAATTTAGACATATCTATAGATACACACACACTTTATTTTTTCAAGGCTGTATGTAAATTTACTATAAAGACTTACCATAATTTACAAAAGGGTACCATAATGTACACCATTTGTTTTTGGAGTAATTTTGCCTACAGGTCAGAGATTAGTTATAGGGACCAGCAGTTGGTGTAATGGCTATGTCGCTGAACTCTCAAGGTTTGAGTCCTGGACCTGGTGGCTTAAACTCACACCAGGCGCATGCGCGTATGTGCCCATCCCCCCTGGGGGGTGATTTCTCGCTTCCTGTCTGTCTGTTTCTGGCAAGCGCACATGCCCTATAGCAAAAACCTCTCCCCCCCAAAAAAGCAGTTGCTTTTTATAAAATTCCAAGGTGATGTGTGCTTATGTGACCTCGATCATCATCCCTTTATAGCTCAATGCATATAAATAAGGCTAGTGTGGTAAGAACTACTACAGTAGAACAAACATTTACTGGTTCTTAAAGTAATACATACATTATAATTACAGTGACTTGAACTTTTCCCCTTACTGCATAAATTCATCTGTTCATTCCAGGAATGAGAGACAAAAGAGTCCTACCCTCCGCTTCCGCCAGCCCAGGATCACTCGTGCCCAGTGTATCTAGGGAGGTCTCCAGGTGTGAACCCAGGACCTTCCCAGAGTGTCAGTCCTGTAGATGGTTGTGTTTTACCACTGTGCCACCATCATGCACTATTTTTGCATTAAGTTTATTTTCATGAGAGAGACAGGCACCACCACTGCACTCCACCCCCGGTCTTGGCCCAGGTCACAGGCATGGTGGTGCATCCACATGCTTAGAAGGTATCAAACGAGAACCCCGCACCTTTCCCACAGGGTCCAGTTGCACCACCACTGTGCCACTACCTGGCCCCCATTTTTATTTTAAAATACTCTGTTTTAGGTATTTTTAAAACGGTGACTCATATTGTGCATTAATATGCCAGACACTGAGCTCAGTGTTTGGTCCTAACACCCTGCCTTAGCTTAAATTGTGCAAATGACCAAACAGGTTTAAGTGTTTAGGACCACACAATTGTCACATGCCAACCTCTGCTTCACTGCCATGGTAAACTATCTGATGCCCTGTTCTCAGGCCTCTGCTTTATTTTTAAAGAAAGGTGGGGATGAGGTGAGGTGATATCAGACAATGGAATATCAGAATTCATCTGACCTGAATTCAACTTTATTTTCTAAAGTGGATGTATCTTTTTTTTTATTATTAAAAAAAATTGGCAAAAGCAATTCAAAAAATGAAGTCTCCCCTCCTAGTCTATTTCTTTTAAAATGCAGTTTTCTTTTAAAACAGTATAAGGCTCTTATATTCCTTTTTCTTTTTTGTATTTTGTTAAGGCATATGTGCTTGCTAGAGAGACCGTGAGAAAGCACCGCCCTCCGTGGGAGATGGTCATGCTGCAGTGTCTTCTCTGTTCCTCCTTTCTTTCAATATTTTAGACATGTATGCATACATGCCTGGCATGTTTTTCAAGCTGCTGAATCCAGGCCTCAAACTGCTCAACCAGCCATGTGTGATTCAGTCATCTTCACCACCACACCACCAGCTGGTCCCTTATTATTTAACATGCTTTTATTCATGACAATTTCTTAAGTCAATTTAGACATATCTATAGATACACACACACTTTATTTTTTCAAGGCTGTATGTAAATTTACTATAAAGACTTACCATAATTTACAAAAGGGTACCATAATGTACACCATTTGTTTTTGGAGTAATTTTGCCTACAGGTCAGAGATTAGTTATAGGGACCAGCAGTTGGTGTAATGGCTATGTCGCTGAACTCTCAAGGTTTGAGTCCTGGACCTGGTGGCTTAAACTCACACCAGGCGCATGCGCGTATGTGCCCATCCCCCCTGGGGGGTGATTTCTCGCTTCCTGTCTGTCTGTTTCTGGCAAGCGCACATGCCCTATAGCAAAAACCTCTCCCCCCCAAAAAAGCAGTTGCTTTTTATAAAATTCCAAGGTGATGTGTGCTTATGTGACCTCGATCATCATCCCTTTATAGCTCAATGCATATAAATAAGGCTAGTGTGGTAAGAACTACTACAGTAGAACAAACATTTACTGGTTCTTAAAGTGGAAAACGTGTTTATTAACATTCAAACTCCCCTCATAGAAGGCCATATAAAAATTCTTAGCATTTTGATTATATGTAAGTCTATATTTTCTATATAATTACAATGATGTATAATACAATTTAGTTTTTCATAATACATTGTTTCAATACACCATTAGTTCTGTTAAACTTAAGCACTTATTTTCAAATTCAATACTTGAAAAATTTTCTCTGTACATAGCTTAAGCAGGGCGAATTAGCATAAGATGCTTTTTATAAGAGGTATATGATCTGAGTATTAACAGTTGCTGAAGTTTGGTATTTTTATGTGGTATCTTGTTACTTTGATCACAACGACAACAAAAAACCCTTGAGGATACTGAAATACAGTTAAGTGAAGTCCAGAGATAATACTTTAGCTGAGTCAAATTCGTACATACCACTACAGTATTAAAAACCTTTAAAGAAAAACTTTGCTTTCTGCTCGTATAGACCATTCCCGTCAGTCTAAGACTGCTTGGGAGTAGGAAAGAAAAAAGACAGCTTTGAGATTCTTTATAGTGCTGATAGGAAAAAAAACTGCTAAGTTACCTTTTGATACCAATTTGGGGAATTACCAGAACAAACATATCCCAGCTCAACAACTCTAGATCATTTCATGGAGGTGGGAGTTGGCGTAGCTCATGCCTGGTGGCCGCAGCACCGACCTCGTGTATAGAACATAAAACGTGTCTACTGTGATCTAGGTCTTACTTGCAAGCTATACTGAGGGTTTTTTTTTTTTTTAACGTTTTGGCTATATTTCATCCCAAAAGAACTGACTTGATGCTTCAGTTACAGCACCAGTCTATTATTACTTATTAGTGAAATAAAGTACACTTCTGCAGGTAAATACTGGATCAAAAAGCCTGTTTCAGTAATCTGATTAATTTAGTAGAATACTAAAAAACGTTATTTCTACAGAAATCTCTGAAGGGAGCAGAAAAAAATCAAAGTATATACCTAAATAAACATTTTAAAGGGAAATCAACCAATCAAGGTCAAACGGTATTTGCTATGTTATAATCCTGTTCACCATTAGGCTGCAATTGGACCACAACACTATGTTCGTTCATTTCGTTTTCTGCATCGCTGCTATCGGTGTCTTCATTGTCGTCTTCCTCATAGTCTGAAGATTCTGTCATATTCTGATGTGAGTGGGATTCCGACATCGCCCCAAAGGACTGAGTGCTGACAGACGCTAAAGGTCTAAGTAAGGGGGTGTGTTCTGATACTTCATTTTCTTCTTGACTACTATCTGTGTCAGAGTCTGAGTCACCTTGAGAAGGAACAACTTTTTGCTTGCAGACTGGACAGGTTTTTTTGGTTTTAGTTAACCAAGGGTCTACACACTTGCAGTGGTAAGCTATTGAAGGGAAAAAAATCACATCTTCAGTTAGTATGCTATGGTTGAAAGCATTATGTTTCATCTCTTGCCCTGTTTGTTCATGTCCATGTACAGACTGGAGGAGACAAATGAATTGTTTTAAGGATACCTCCATAATTTAATGAGCCACTAATTAATACAAGGCCTGCCCGATGCTGTGCTAATAACTATTTTCTGTCTCTTCCCCTGTACTATTAAACCTAAATATAAATTAGCCGATCTGTAAATTCAAAGCAGTGTATAATTACTCATACCATGGGAACAGGGAAGTATTCTGAGCTTGTCTCCATCTTCATACTCATCCAAACAAATGGCACATACGTCATATTCATCTCCTGTAACAAAATGGTAAATAAAACTAATTAAAATACATGAAGTATTTTTTCACTTTTCAAGTTAGCTGTGCCTCTGTCCATTATTTTAATTGCCTTTTGACTTTTAAGTCAAAAGACACCTTTGTGTCTTTTATATTCCATCAGATTTAAGGAGCTGCTTAGGTGTATAAGTTCAAGAATTTGAAGTCTTAATAATAAGTAATTAACCTTTTACCTAAAATAGGCAATTAAAAATGGATGTCAGAGCCAACCCCAAAGTGCAACAGTTAATGGTTGTGCATAGGGAGCTGAATCCCACATGGCCATCTGCAGTTTAAATCCTGGCCCTGGTGGCCTGAAAAACCTGGGGTGCCTGTGCATGCATGCCCCAAATCCTGACAGGATGAAGAAGAGAAAGAGGAGGGACTGCTGCATGCTAACACCCCACTAGGGGGTGCTTGCTTGCTTTTTCTCTAGCAGGTGCACATGCCCTCTGACTGACAAATTGATTGAATAAAAAAGTTTTGGGGTTTTTTTGGGAGAGGTTTTTGCTATAGGGCACGTGCACTCGCCAGACAGACAGAGACACACAGACAGAAAGCGAGAAATCACCCCCCAGGGGGGATGGCCATGCTGCAATCCCTTCTCCTCCATTCTCCTCTCGGGATCTTGGGCACACATGCACAAGTGCCTGGTGTGAGTTTAAGCCACCGGGTCCGGGACTCGAACCACAGTTGACTACGTGGGAGTCCAGCGACATAGCCATTACGCTAACTGCTGGTCCCTCTGAAAAAGATTTTAAGAAACAAATTCCATTACTGTTTTACATAACTATTCACATGCTAGTTTTCAAGTATTTTCCACCAAAAAATAAATGTCAGTATTTAAATCTCTCAAAGTCTATGAGTTATTTTTAAAATAAAAAGGGAAACACATGAGAACACACTCAAGTGCTTTTAATATGCAGTTGGCCTTTAAATAACTCGGGGGTTCAGGGTGCACACCCCCACCCGTCCTATAGTTGGAACTCTACATATAACTCTTGACTCCCCCGGAACTGAACTTCTAATAACCTGCAGTTGCTGGAAGCTTTACTAGTATAAAAGTTGACTAATAAATGAAAATACATTTGCAATACCATACTATGTTATCCAATATACTGGATCATCGGGAAAGTCATGACATTTTTGCATAGAAAAAAAAATAATATAGCATGACTTTTCTGATGATCCAATAGTTACTGGGAAAAAAAAATTGCATGTAAGTGGACCCATGTGGTTCAAATTTGTGTTCAAGGGTCTGCTACATTACATTAAGCAAATGAAAACAGATTGAGATGAGACTCTGGGCTCCAAATGTCCCAAGTTAGCCCTTCCTATGATGCTTAGCAAGTTGCTTCACCTTCAACCTCCAGTTCTTAGCCATAAAAATATTCTACCTTTCTTGCATGGTTGAGAGGATGAAATGAGATAATTTGAGCTTAAGGACCAGCCAGGAACATTCAGTAAATAATAAATTCAGTATCATTATTAATGTCATTGCCATTTTAATGGTCTTACTGAATTGAATCACCTCTATAATAAATTGAATTTATCACCTTTATAATAAATTTTGTTTTTAAAAGAAATTATTAATTTACAATTCTTTTTGAAGTTCAGGTGTAGTTTCAAGTTTTGAAAGGAACTGGCAGTCTTAAGTACAGTAGCTTTTTTGGCTGACTTAATAGTGGCTTAGACACCACTGTGACTGCTTTCAATCTAGTGTTTTCCATTAAATGAACATGTAAAATAAAAGCCTATAAAAATCTCAGGAACAAAAGACGGTTAAATTCATTGTCTATCTCACACAGAGGAGTAATGACCTTGGGAGACATACCAAAAATAAAGCCATTGTCTTGATAGCCTGGATGAAAATAACACATAAAAAAAGTAATGCTAGTTCTTTTGAAATATCTTTTTAATGTCGTCTACTCTTTAAAAACTACATTCAAGGAGTCCTAAACAGGAAGTTTTCATGAAGACTAATTTGTGTCGAGTATCTTGAGTTAGGGATTACTGTACTATTATCTATCAAACAGATTCTGTAACAAATGCACGTGTGCATGTATTAGAACCTAGGGTGTGGAATTTGGTGAGACTGACTAGACTCATCTACAAGACTAAAGGACTTCAGCATATCTGTAATTATACATGCAACCCATTTACATGGACTTTGAGGACACACTGCTCTAGGAAGCAATTTAGTCATGACTGATTCCTCAGACAAATCAAACTTGCAGTTTCATCCCTCTGAAAATGTTTACTAAAAAACACAGTTAAAATAGTTGACACGAAGGCACTGGCTCAAAGATGTGCCAAGGCTCTATGGTTAGTTTTATTAATAGAGATTAGCTTGAACTATTCACGTGGGCCCAGAGTGATCACAAGAGTCCTTAAAGGAAAAAGATGAAAGAGGTAGGAAAGTGCAGTAGGAGGGTTATGTGACAATATTGGCTTGGAAGATGGTGCGAAGAGGGGACTAGCTAAGGAATGTGGGTGACCGCTAGGGGTTGGAAAAGGAAAGAAAACTGGTTCTCCCCTAGAACCTCCCAAAAGAAACAGCCCTGCCCACACCCTGATTTCAGTCCTGGAAACCTATGTCAGATTCTAACCTGCAGATGTGTTTTAAGCTACCACATTTGTAATAACACATCTCAAAAAAAATAGGAAACAAATAGGTAGTATTTGGAATATTATTTAAGGTTAATTTTATTCACCCATTCATTTTATTTCAATTTGACCAGAGAGAGACAGAGAGAGAAAGCAAGCCATCAAGTCCAGGACTCGAACCATGGTTGGCCACCTGGCAGTGTCCAGCACCCTAACCACCACGCCATCCACTGGTCCCCGATATTTGGATTATTTTTAACTGTATGGATTGATGATGGGAGTGTCCAGCACCCTAACCACCAAGCCACCTGCTGGCCCCCGGTATTTGAATTATTTTTAACTGTATGGATTGATGATTTAGAGTCACTGAAGCTTTCATGTCAGTCCTTCAAATTGTTCCAAGTGAGGGATGTTATTGATCTTCCATATTTTCTGGCTATAATACTTCACTTGAAGATGACAGTCAAGATTCTAAGGTGCACTTTGTGATCATGAAATAGAATCTAGTACTCTAGCTTCATGGCCTTAGAGTTGTGATGAAATAATAAAACACATGTTAGGATGCCCAGGGTTCCCATCCATATACACCTGCAAATTCAGTTTTCTCAAAGGCAAAAGCTAAAGTATTAACATACCTAGGATATTAATGAGGATTAAGAGAGAGAATGTAAGTAGAGCACTTCCATGGTGTTAGGCACACACAGTGCCTCTTACCCACTTTTCACATGGTACACTGAAGGCTGTAGCTTACCAGCCTGCTCTGTAACAGCCCCTTGCACTTACTCTTACCAGATGAACTGCATGCTTAGAAGAGCCCGTGGCAGTGGTCATTTATTGTTCTTAGAGCAGCTAGATAATGTTGTTAACTATTCAGTGGCCCTTCAACTATGAATGCGAAAGGCTCGGTTTTATCAACAAGCTAGACTGAATGTATTAGAAACATTTTTAAGCTAGTTGCTTCTTTCCTCCTGATCCCCAGGCAAAATATGGTTAAACTGGGTATGAGTCAGAATCAAAATAAGGGACAAATTGAAATCTCAAAAACAAAAATGTAAATTAGAATCCTACTTTAAAGTACCTCAAACTAAAAACGGTTAAAAAATTGCATCAGATACCATGACAATTTTCAGAACTAGTCAGTAGATTTATATGCAGAGGCTATTTCCAACAGCAAACAACTGTTATTTATATTTAACTTAAAGATAAGTATAAGGCATGTTTAAAAGTGATTTACAACTTTAGCAGGTTTTTTTTATTATTATTTTTTTTTTTGCATATGTCTGTGCAAAAATACATCATGACTTTTTCGCTGACCCAGTATAAACTGATTTCCACTGGTTCTGGTAGAATAAAAAAAACGACCATAGGGCCGGCAGATGGTGTAGCGGTTATGTTGCTGGACTCCCACAGCTAACCATGGTTTAAGTCCCGGACCGGGAAGCTTGAAAATCACTCTGAGTGTATGTGCATGTGTACCCAAGATCCCGGAAGGAGAATAGAGGAAAGGGGATTGAGGTGTGGCCATCCCCACTAGGAGATGACTTCTCCCTTTCCCTCTCACTATTTCTCTCTCTCTCTCTCTCTCTCTCTCTCTCTCTGGCATTCACATGTACCCCAAGGAAAAAACTTCTTGAAAAGAACTATAAAAAGGTGGTTAATATGTATTAATTTTCTTACTGTTAGCACAAGCTAGAAAATTCTACTTTGGGGACCAGCAGTTGATGTAATGGCTATGTCACTGAACTCCTATGTAGTCAACCATGATTTGAGTCCCAGACCAGGTGGCTTAAACTCACACTTGGCACTTGTACTTGCGTGCTCAAGATCCTGAGAGAAGAATAGAGGAGAAGGGATTGCGGTGTGGCCATCTCTCCCGGGGGGTGATTTCTCACTTTTGTCTCTCTGTCTCTGTCTTTCTGGTGAGCACATGCACCCTATAGCAAAAAACACTCCAAAAAGAAAATTCTGCTTTGTATAAGCCATTGGTTTTCATTTTGCCCTCCGAGGACATTTGGTCCTATTTGGAGACAAGGTTTTCACAATGGAAGGATGGTGTTGCTGACATCTGGAGGTCCCAGGGTTGCTGCTAAACATCCTAGAATGTCCTGGACAGCGCCCAGATAGAATTATCCTGTCTCAAATGTCAACAGTGTTGAGGCTGAGAAACCCTGACCTAACTCCAGGCTAACAAAACTGCCAGTTCACTAGTGGATAAAAGTGTGCATAGGTGGGCCAGCAAGTGGCATGGTGATTAAGGTGCTAGATCCCAAATGGCCAACTCTGCAGTTTGAGTTCCAGAACTGGGCACATGTGCATGCGTACTCTAAATCCTTAGAGGAGAATGGAGGGAAAGGGACTGAGGTGTGGAGTTGA